TGTGCTGTTTCTTCCCATTTATGGTACTCTAAAACATTTTATAGGTGTTGAAAACAGAATGTCAGGGGTAAATATTTTAGTCTTACCTTTAACACTAAGGGGAACTCCCAGCATTCCCATTACTAGGCAGCATGTTTAAGGAACGTGAATTCCTTGAAAAAATCATGTTGAATTTTAACACCATCAGTAGGAGGTACTGGAATCACCACAGAGAGTTTATAACACAATTTCCAGGCATGTTAAATCAAGGCAAAAACAAGGTACCTCTGTTTTGCTTCAAGGAACAGTAATAGAGAACAGAGGAAATAATTTAACCTCAAAGTACTTTTCTGGGCCAAGGGCAGAAGACATAACTTCTTTATTTAAGAAGATTCAGAAACTAAATATTGTCTTAAAGATCTTCCAACAAGAGGGTATAATTTGAACCCTGTAAAGCCTTCTCTTTTTCCTATAATTTCAAAAGATTCTACTCTCTGCTTTTTCTTCAGCAATAAATCCCCTTCCACAGACTATCCAAAGCTCCCCTTTTTGAATCCCAGCCTGCTCATTAATTTCACTTCAAAAGAGTATCATTACACCCCCAAGTGTGTACAAACTGAGCAAGTAAAGCACATTTACATGAATCTACCATTGCTTCCATTATGACTGCCATGGGACAAACTAAGTATTACTAAGCTACTACAAGAGATTATTTTTATTCCATATGATTTTCATTTGTCAGAAAATACTATTTTTATAATTTTTTCAACTATCCTTAGCTGTCCAGCCATTCTACTGTAGGCAGTAGAATCAATCTGGTCCACCCGACAGTTTGCGGACCCCAATTTTGATTTAAAAAACAACCTCACTGGCCCTCCCTGGTGGCGCAGTGAGTTAAAGCACAACACTGAGAATCTAAAGCCGCTTCCGCATGAGTTCAATTCCCACCTGCCCCAGAGGAGACCACATGGCATGGCAGACCTCTCCTGACCTGCCCGCTGCTCCCCTCAGCAGTGTACTTCTTTGATCTGCCTGTTCTGTTCCCCGCTCT